GTGAGTCTGTATGTGGGAGGCAGAGTGGACACTGCTACTTGGATTTTGGATCTCTCATAGGTTAGCTAAAATGTGGCGTCTCCAGCAGGCGGTCTACTGGCTGCCTGAGGCCGACCTTCCCAAGTCATACAGCGGGAGGGACCCCAGCACTATTTTCAAGGGAGCTGTCATCTTTCAGGCGATGCGATACCAGATTCCTCTCTGAGTGCAGTGACGGAAGTCGACAGCTGAGGGGCAGGCCACGGGAAGGTCACCCTGCCTGCAGGTCCTCCACGCATCACTGGCCACTCTTCAGAGGGAGAGTCCTGTGTTTTGATTCAGAATCCTGCCTCCCTGGAGGCTGCTGTCTCCCTTCACAGCAGAAGATGACACCAGAACCCCAGACCCCCAAATCCTTCTCCAGGTGGTTTGGCCTCACCAATGCTTTGGAGTCCCATAGGCCTGGGGGAACAACTTGGCCCTGACACACCAGCTATGGAGTCTCATATAAATGATAAAAACCTTAGGGGGTTTGGCCTCACCAATGCTTTGGAGTCCCATAGACCTGGGGAACACACTTGGTCCTGTCACATCAGCTATGGAGTCTCATACAAATGATAAAAACCTTAGGCCTGGCTGGTGTGGCTCAGTGGTTGAGCACTGACCTATGAACCAGGAGGTCACGGTGTCCTAGGAGCTGTATCGGTAAACATACTGCTATGACATAGGCCTTTTATTTTGCCGCCTGTGGCATCCTTGCATCTGATCTTGGATTTTAAATACTGTTCAGATCAAAGTTAATAGGAGTAATCTATAGGCTGATGCAGGAACCTGTTCTTGTGCCAGAAATTAAAGAAGGGTCAGAAATTGAAAGAGACATATTAAAAGAATATCTAATTCTTCAGTGGGATATACAAGAGCCTTTTGCACTTCACATTTCTCTGATGTGGGTGATCTGACTTCTTTTTGACCTTCCCTTCTCTTAGCAGCTGTTCCTAGAGCCACACCCATGACCTTTGCTGCTGGGGTCTCTGAGCTAACTAAGACCAGGCCTCTAGGGTTATTCAAACCTAGATATCTTCTGGGGTTTTCAGTTGACTCACAGAAAACCTGTGCATCCCTGTCAGCCCAACATATTGGAGAACAGCTGATCTAGGCTGACGTATCATGAGAAAGTGAGTAGATGATAGTTGTTTGGCTCATTCATTGTGTTAATATTAAAAGGAAGAACATTTCCTAAGTTTAGGGAGGCAGTGGGGAAGGGGGTGCAGCTACATCTTTTCATGAACATCCCAATGCCTCCCAAGCTGGGCTTTAGAGACTTATCTGAGAAGGCTTATCTGTTACAAGAACACGATGGATCCTCTGACATTTACAGAATCCCCACAAAAGCACTAGCCACTTGAGTGATGTTTTTCTAGACCAAAGTGTCCTGAGAAATTTCTGCTCTTGCTTTACAAAGACACACATAAACTTCTGCAAAAAATCATGCAGCTCTGCTGTGCTGATAAATCTCTGGTCACATCCCCCCTCGCCCCAAGTCGGTCTCAGAGAGGATATTTGCGATCTGATCAAACAGGGACCTCGGGCAATGGCATGACGACTATTCCACAGCAAACGCTGAGTCCCGGGCAAACCTCGGAACCATGTTTGCTTTCGCTGCTGTCACCTGCAGATGGGAACGATGCATTGTCCAGGGTTCTAGCCCAGAGAGACTGGGGTGATGATGGCATGAACTAAGGCTCATTTGCACCCTGTCTCTGGCTAACAATGTAATTTCCTTCTACATGCGCTGGGCTGTGAAGCTATCTTGACAGAGTTCAATGGATTTTTAAATTCATTTTTAAGAGCAGCGATCTTTTTATCATGGGGATGTTCATCGAGCTGCTCTAGTGGAAACTGGGCAGGGAGACCCAGAGCCCAGCCCTCAGGGCAGTGCTGAAAGTAGTGATTAGAACTCAGACCTAGAACTCAGAAGGCTGGGCCTTCAATCTAGGCTCTGCCCAAGGCAAGCCTGTCATGTAGCCCATCTAAGCCTCAGCTTCCTCATCTGTATGATGGGGATAGGAGTGCCTTTCCTGGGAAACTGCTGTGACTCCCAAAGGAGACAGTGTGCGCACAAGGTAGCACTGAGTTTGCTTAGATTATGTTCTCCAAACGCTCCGTGTTCGACGGGAGGGGAGGCTCACACACCGTGACCCTGGGCTTCCTCTGAATCTAGGGTGACCTGTCTTCTGTGGTGTTCCCTTCCCCGGTGGGGAAGGCGCAGTTTCCCTGGCTCTGGTTTTGACAAATATTCCTCTCGTTCCATCTAACGGCCTCGTAAATCATTAAAAGGAGGAGTAAACGGAGGGAGGGCCCGGCTGGTGTGGCTCAGTGGTTGAGCGTCGACCTATGAACCAAGAAGTAGGTCATGGTTTGATTCCTGGTCGGGGCACATGCCCAGGTTGTGGGCTCGATCCCCAGTAGCGGGTATACAGGAGGCAGCCAGTCAATGATTCTCTCATCATTGATGTTTCCATCTCTCTCTCCCTTCTGCCTTCCTCTCTGAAATCAATAAAAAGATATATATATATATTTTAAAAGAGGTAGGCAAATGAGAGTGTGAAGAGCAATTCCAGGCCTCGCACTGTGACAACTCCAGGTCCAGGCCCCAGAGGCAGACAGACAGACAGCACCCCCAGGCTGGTGAGATTCTCTCCTGGACCTGGGTCTGTCCTCTGAGTGCTCCCCAGTGTTCATCGAGAACAGAGGGTGGCAGACTTGCTCGGCGAAAGGCCAGAGAGTAAACCCTGCAGGCTCCGTGGCCACATCCTGTCGGTGCAGCTACTGGCTTAACTGCGAGGTCCAGGGAAAGCGGCGGACGGGGTCACTGAGGTTTCCCAAAGACACTGGCGGCATTCCCTGCCCTGTGCCCGACCTCCTCCCCTGCAAGTCTGCAGCTCTGCTCTGCGGCTTCTAAGGTGACTTGGGGTTTGAAAAGGAACGCATGGCTTGGCTACTGTCTTTTCAGACCTGTGAGCCTTTTTAAACTGCATCTTAACTGTGCACTTGGCAAAGGGACTCTGAGGTAGACGAGCATGAGCTGAGGGATCAGCGGGCTGGACTTCAAGTCCTGGTCTCCCCGCTGCTAAGAAAGGCCTCAGCTGCCGAGACTACATCCTGGTCCTCGGGGGACAAGACCTGCTGATCTCACAGGGACGTGAGAAAACAAAGTAGAGGTGCCAAGCGAATTGCCAAGCATTAGACATGTCAGATATAGAAGAGCCAGTAACAGAAGGGAGGCAGAAAGAACAAGAATCAGAGGTAGGAGAGAGAGAGAGAGAGAGAGAGAGAGAGAGAGAGAGATAGGTAGGTTTAAGATAGGCTTCCCAGTGACACCTATGCTGTGAGTTGGCTTCGCACAAAGCTTAGAAGAAGCTGTGTCCAGCAGAGTGAGCATAAGCAC